ATTTGATAGATTTTGATGAAATATGTGAACAAGGTAGACATGCACATGGAGCATTGATACCTAGTAGAATGGAAGATGGTAATGCTAAACGGCAAACAATTATGAACAATCTAATTATGAGAAACAATTGATGTTCATTGTCACTGTTACCTGTTTCTTTTTTAATTTTTAAGATATGCATAATATTTATAAAATTTGTGAAATGAATTTCGTAATTTTATACTAATTTCTTTGCCTTTTAATTTCAGAACCTAAGCCCTCTTAATATTGATTAAAGGTCGTAGTAAAAATAATTGAATAATTTTTGTTATTAAATTTTATTTATTAACGTAAGGTCAAGTTTTACAAGCATCAAGAACAATAAGAACTTTAGAAACAAAATAAAAACTTTAGACATGACAAATAAGAACTTTAGAAATAACAATGGCATAAATAGGAACTTAGATATTCAGACTGTCAACAAAATTAAATTACTTTTTAGTGATGGCCTCTAAAAACTGTTGCATAATTGCTATTTTTTCCTTGTGTTGTCTTTCTTGCTGTTTCTCCAATTCTTTTAACCATGCTTCTTTAGCTTGTTTTTTCTTCTCTTTTTCTGCTCTTTCCTCTTTCATATCTGATATATAATCATCTAAAACAGCCACAATTTTCCATTTATTACATCTTTTTCTTATCATCATTTGTGCAAAGAGAATCAGATACGATTGCCTGCTGAGCACTTGGTCCAGCTTCTGTAGCAATAACTTTAGGATTTGCCCATCCCATTTTTCAAAAAATTTCATGCATTCTCTGAAAAAAAACATACTGTGATAAATCTTCATCAAATATAACTGAGGAAGAGAAAATTTAAATTAATGTACTTACTTCAAAATAAGGCCACGTCTTTCTGTTATTTCCTGACATAGAATTGTGATTTAATATTTTTTGATATGTCTTCTTCAAGCCATTTAATTTCGATTCACATTGCGATCCACTTACAGTACAGTTATTATTTATTTTCCTTATGTCATCAGCGATAGTTTCCCAAATTTTGTTGTGGCGTTTCGTACCTTCTGTAAACTTTTCTTCTTGTTCCTCATATTTTTCGAGTAACAGGTATACACATTAGACGGCCACACGAATAATGACTTTTCATTTGCTGTAACTCACTTGAATTTTTAGGATCGACATCAGAGTCTTGTGATTTTAGAAATGGTATGTAAGATTCATCATCATGTAGAGACTGAACAACCGTTGAAATGCCAATATCATTGTCTTGATCAGTTGAAATTCGTATATTTGTTTCATTCATCAAATCCTGGCTTCTCTTATCATAAATTTTATTAACGAGGTTTGTCATATAATTTATATCGGAAAATAATTAAAAATTACTCTTATGCTAAAATATAATATATATTTTACAATACATTTTAACCTCATTATTACACATGAACACATTAATTATTTTTTCTTACCCATACTGGCTCTCTCCGCATCTTGTCGCAAAAGCTTCAATATTAATGTTTCGCCACTATCTTCGATGAAAACAGGGACAGATATTAATTTATTCGACATTTTCGCCAACCAAATTTTTAAGTTTTTAACGTCTTTTCTTTTTAACGTGTTCTCTTCTTAACGTTTTCTGTGTTCTCTTCTTAACGTCTTCTGTGTTCTCTTCTTCAAGTCGTCACTTTTTCGCGCATTTGTGACGTCATGCAACTATGATACTCACGGTGACCCACCTTCCAACCAGAAGCATCGTGAGTACTGAAGACATCATGTATTAATGACGTCACTTTGCTCATGAAAACGCTGTAAGGATGAATCGGCCGTGAGCGCGATGTTAACGCTGTGAGCGTGTTTCGGACCGCAGCCTAAGTGTGCATTCCGATAGAGAAAGAAATAGCAAAGCGGAACAGTAAGAAATAAAAGAAATGGTGGAAAGCTAATCAATCAGACATTCCGTTCCGCTTTCTTGTAGATGCTTTATTTTGTAGTTCTATGTTTTTATGTATTTTTAATCATCGCGCTTAAATAGAACATATTGCCTATTTATATTGACGTTTGTAATGCACGTTTATATGCATACTGATATGTATATTCCTACAAAAAAGTACATCGAATCCATGTGGAACGCATTTGTTGCATTCACGTGGAATCCACAAAACCATATGGATTTCATGTGGACACAACGTTCCTATTTTCATGGAGATATCCGCCCTTATATTATTTAAACGTTTAAGAACGCTTGTATATTATACAAAACTCACATAGAGAAAAATTTCTTTAGGTTTAATATTCTTACTTGTTCGATTTTGAGTTGTTAAAATATATTTTTACAATATTATTTTTAGAAAAAAAAATTCTATTTCATTGAAGAAAACCATGTTGATAAAAAACAGGATTTGAGATAATAGTTTTCAAAAGTTTTTTTTTAATTTAATAATTAAAATTTTTTATTTAAACTTCTTTGAATTTGTTTCAAACTATTTCTTTTGTGGGTTAACCATTATAATACTCCATTATTAGTAATTTTGAAACATAGCTTATACTGATATTCGTCGCATATCGAATGTTGTTGCGTTGTTGTAATTTTTGACATGAAAGGTTATAATGTTCTGTGAATACTATAAGGATACATTATATAAGCACAAATCACAAGAACATCGTTGAGGAGTCATTGGGATAACTGCGTACCACTCGATTGTCAGATTAAGCAAAGCCAAGCGTGGTCAGCACATGGAGAGTGCCGCATGGAATCGAAGCTATCGACGGACGCAAGACACGAGAAAATTAGGAGTAAATTTTTTATATAACAATAATATTACAGTTATATAACAGCTATATAACATTTTAGTAATATGTGATATTTCTGTTATATAACTGCAACTTTCTATGAATGGGAAATTACAACTAACATGTATATTGTTTGTAACATACATGTTATATTACATGTTATATTTCGTTTACGACAATATAACTGTTACTGTGTTTACTGGGTTCTTTTATCATGGTTTTATCCATCTTTTGCCTAAAAGATGGCAAAGAGTAGTAGATAATGCTGGAAAATATTTTGAGTAAAGATACTTTGTCATTTACAATAATATTAATGAAAAACATTGCCTCAAAAACAATGGAAATTTTTGTATACCCTTCATATTTGCATTACTCTTAATAATATTTTAAGTTTCGTTAACTTATTGACTTTTGAAAATTACAAAAACATTAAGTTAACAAAAGTTAGGGCACTGTTGTAGCGGTATATTCTTAATAGACTAAATAGAGTAAAAAATCTAGTACCTCCCCTCACTTTTTCTCCCAACAAATAGTTACCGAGATATCGTAAGCTAAATATTGAAAAAGTTATTAAATTTTCCTTAAATATTTAAAAAAAATATTAGATAAATAAGAAAACGTTTCAGACAAAAATTGTTTAAATTAATTGGTAGAAAAAAATGATATAATAAAAAATAGGTCTCCCACTTAAAAATTTCAGTGATTCTTATATGATCTTGACAACACTATTCAAGGTTATATTAATATTATTGCGTAATGTGTCACTTGAAATTCTACAATTTTTATATGAAACATTTTTCTGTAAAACGCTTTATTTTCGAGATGTTTAGCCATTCTGAGGGCACAGGCGGCGCCAGTCCTGGCCCACCTAAAAATACGCTGGCCCACCCTTTGGCTCACCTTAAAATTTTAATATAATTATACTGTTTTATTCTGTCCAAGTTTTCAGCTTTTTTATATGAAGCTATTTTTATAATTAAAATTCTACAATTAATTTTAAATTCTATCTTCGTAGTTAATTTTCTCCTAGAGACAAAGCGCAATGGTTAGAAATATTAAAATGAATGATAAAATGATATATAATATATAATAAATATGGCCCACCCGCATGAATAGTTCTGGCTTATGCTTTTGGGACATTGTATGGGTGTGTTCCGTTTCACGCATATGCGCGCTAAACTATAGATAAATGCGCGCATATGCGTGAAACGGAACGCACCCTATATGTGTGCGAATCTATCATTATTATAGAAAATTGATCTTATATTTCTATGGAGGTATTTGATATGAAAATGTACATAAAAATATATTCATAATAGTATGGAGAAAAAAAAAATCATGTGCATGTTATTAAACATAATATAAGTCCGATGTAATGTAAGTGTGATAACATGTTTATCAACATGCAATTATAGGTATAGTACAGATATGAATAAAAAATGGGCGTAGCACAGACACGTACTAACCGGAACACTTTACCAACAGCGCTTGAAAATGGGTGTAACGAACGTAATTTCAGCTCAAAGATGGCGTACCAAACAATCCTGAAAATCACTGTCGGTAAAATGTCAGGATGATCGCTTTAGGCCGCTCTCAGGCTTCTCTCTGATTTTGATAATTACTGTCGGCAATCAGTCGTCTGATTACAAGTCGTCGTTACAAACAACTTGTTTTGAATATAATAATTGGAAATAATTGCGTCTATATTTGCTATCATGATTAACAATTATACAAAAAAGTAGCAAAATATATATTCGTATCTCCAATTTCTAAACGACAAGCTTTACTTCCTAAACCAACAGTTTCTCACGGGCCTCCCGTTTATTGCAATATTATCAGCGTTATTTCTTATCAAAAGAGAGAGAGAGAGAGAGAGAGAGAGAAAGAGAGAGAGAGAGAGAGAGAGAGAGAGAGAGAGAGAGAAAGAGAGAAAGAGAGACACATATAAAAGAAAATATAAAAGGAGATAAGCAGAAGTGTTACTAAAAGCGAGAAAGCAGAAGACTATATGGGTAGTTGATAGAAAAAAGTTAACATTTTTTCGGCGACTTTAAAGCTCCCGGTCGTGTTTCGTTTGTGTCGGCCGCGCCGCTACAGGAGATAACACGTCGGTACTCGCTCCAATCCTTAGTGACATCTGGCCGCGGTGGGGAACTACGTCGTTCCCCTCCTTTCGACCGAGGTGTAATCCGTGTTTGTAACTCGCGACTCTCTTCGACCGCTCACGGTGCGATGCATTTATACGGGCGGCCTGTATCTAGGCGCTTCAGTCTCTGCTTGGGACCCGACCGCGCGAGTATGGGGTGCGCGTATACTCCGCGTAACGTATCATACGGTATTGCTGTTTGAACCGCGGACGAATCAAACGACCCCGACGTTGACGTTTTGACAGAAGAATTAGAAAAAGAATAGAGGAGGGAACGTTGCTGCCCCCTACGTTCTCCGTTTCACTCTTTTTCTCTTTCTCTCTCTCTCTCTCTCTCTTTCTCTCTGTCTTTTCCTCTTGTTGTGTTTCCGCGCCTCTCTCCCTCTTTCCCCCTGCATGGCTCCAAAAGCACTCGTTGATTCTTGACATCCCCCATACGCACCCCGAGACGACTGCGACTTTTGGCGCGAGCGCGCCAATAATCCGCGTATGTCGCCGGGAAATCCACCGGCGCGACGGACATTCGATTTTCCGCTCGATGAGTGAAGCATCCGGCTGCTATCGTTGCCGTCGTCGTCGTCGTCGTCGTCGTGGAACGAGATCGGGATCAGTGAGTACGCGAGCCGATTCGTCGCGCTTGTGATTGTTGATCCAGTGGTGGTGCGGGAAGGATCTCCTCGGATTCCCGGTGCATAAGAACGTGAGTAGCATCAGGAGCATTTTTAAATAGCGCTGTTAAACGCCGCGGTCGTGTCACGTACGTGCCCGGAGAACGGTGGATAGGCGAAATTATAGATGAGGGTGTGTACGTACGCTGCGGCCGCGGCCGCTCGCGGCGAACGCGATCGGTCAATTTTAAATGATTGATTCGTTCCGCGGATCGGAGGAAATCGAGGCACGTCATTTCGATTGGCGTCGAACGCGAAGGCCGGCTCGAGTTGCATTAATAAGCAGGTGCATTCGCGATTATCGTGCTCCGGAGCGTTCCGCTCGGATCTTTCGTTATTCTATCATACAGCTGCGTCACTTCGCTTTTGTATTAGCCGAGTTTCTGAGATTATCGCGATTCTTACTTCTTGGACGCCGATAATCGTCGCAAGGGGCGTCGTGGCATCACGTCCGTCGCACTGCGAGTCGAATTCTGTCTCTGTGAAAGTTTTTTCAAGACTTTCCTCGAAAAGTTGAGTCGTGTAAAGATGAGAATCTAGCATGTAACGATTGTAAATAAATCAACAGTGCACCGCAACGGATGACTCATCGGCAAGTTCGCTTATCCAACGACATTGATAAGAAATCGTAGTATGATATTTGACGTAGACATGAGATGCGCGTGCGTACACACGTGTGTATGGTGTGTGTGTGGTGCATGCGCACACACGCACACATGCAGTGCAATCTGGCCAATATTAGCGCGATAACCGCATCTTCCGCGAGCGAATCATTTGGTAAAACTGAGCAACTCGCGAGACGGATTTACCGAGAGCTCGTCGCCGTTATGCGAATTCCATCGTGCGATCATACGTATTAACATTGTTATTTTTGTTTTACATAATGTTACAGTTAAATAATAGTACATTACGCAATACGATGCCACACACAGTACGGTGGAATAGTTCCGTTATAGTACCACAGTTAACGTAATAATTAGTTAAAGGCTTATTTCGCACACAATTTTACGCCATGCATTATACCTTCCTATTCTGACTACTTAATCACCTGTTTGAGTCGCTTTTATAGAGAAAGTTTCATTGTTCGGGCAATCGCGAGGAAGTAATCATTTAATTATGAGTAATTGTTGTTACAATATTACGGGGCGAGTTAATTATTCGTAAGAGACGGTGCGCATCGATTAACAATATTTGTTCGCATATGAATATTTATTGTTCGAATATTTGATCGCTGTGCTTTTTTAATCAACTATTGTTAATTAATATTTATTTTCACCATTTTCACGGTGATTAAATACTGTTGATCCATGTCTATCGATCGAGGAAACGGAATACCGTGGAGATTGTATAAAATAAATATTGATTAATACAATAGTTAATCAATATTTATTTTATACAATTTTCGCGCTATTCCATTCACTCAATCGCAGCGAGAAAGCTCCATTGTTTGAGCGGTCGTGACGAAGTGCCACGTTGCCTCACGACCCTTAATTGGAATTTGTTAAATTAAAATTGCGAATCATACACAATAAAGTGAGTGATTTCTCGGCGTCGTGAATAAACAAATCAGAGAGAGAGAGAGAGAGAGAGAGAGAGAGAAAGAGAGAGAGAGAGAGGGAGAGAGAGAGAGAGAAAGAGGGAAATAGTGTTTTGCTAAAATCGTTAAAATATATGTTAGGTGTTTCAGTTAGTTTTGAGGGATTTTTTGCAATCTTTTGCAAAAATTGATTAACACAATAGTTAATCAATATTTATTTTACACAGTTTTTGCGCTATTTCGTTCACTCGCAGCGAGAAAGCTGCATTATTCGAGCTGCGTGTTTCTTAACACGTTTATTTTTGAGAGACGTTAAATTATATTTCATTCAAAATATTTTCCATCGCTAGCTATAACTTTTTCTTACTTTTCGGGCAACAAGTGAATTCCGCGAAAATAAAAGAAATGTTCGTCCTTCGAAGCAATTCACTCATCGAGCCATTTTTGTATTTCTTCATATGATTTAAAGTGCTGGTCAGCAAGGCTGTGCTGCATAGATCGAAATAAGTGGTAATCGGAAGGAGCGCAGTCCGGTGAATACGCGGTATGTGGTAGGATCTTCCATTGAAGTGTCGATAATATATCCTTAACTGTTTTTGCAACGTACGGTCGAGCATTGTCGTGCAACAAAATCATTTTGCGTTTTCTTCGAGCTATTACTGGACGTTTTTGGTTTAAAATATGATTTAAATTGATTAATTGTTGTTGATAACGCACAACAGTGACTGTTTGATTCGGTTGTAGCAACTCATAAAATACGACGCCTTTCATGTCCCACTAAATGCACAATAAAATTTTATTTCCGTGAATGTTACGTTTTGGAGTCGATGTCGATGGTTGGCCTCGACTTATCCACGGCTTTTTACGCTTAGGATTATCATAGTAGATCCATTTTTCATCTCCATTTATAATTTGATACAAGAACTGCTTCTTTTTGTGGCGAGAAAGCAATGAAGTGCAAATGGTTAAACGAGTTTGAATAGCCAATTCAGACAATGCATGTGGAACCTATTTGCCTTCTTTTTTAATCTTTCTCATTGCGTGTGAACGATCTGAAACGGTTGATATACCAACATTTAATGCTTCAGCTAGTTCTTGAAGCGGTTGTGCTGAGTTTTCATCCAATAATGCCTCCAATTCGGCATCTTCAAACTTTTTTGGTTGACCTGAACGTTCTTTGTTTTTCAAATCGAAATCACCACGTCGAAATGGCCGATACCAGTACTCGCATGTTTTAACCGATGGAGAAAAGTCAGAATAAGTTTCTGAGATGAATCGATGGGCCTCAGCAGCCGTTTCCTTCGAATCGAAACAATAAAGCAATAAATATCGGACATTTTCTTTACCACGCTCCATTTTCAATCGCACAAAAAGTATAGTTATGTTCACGAATGCACATATCATGTGTCAAATTATTTGTCTAAGCTTTAGAATGGCGTACCAATTTTTAAAATACCTCTAGTAGATTTGTAGCTATAGTCATCTATATTAAGCCTTCAAAACTAACCGGAACACTTTATATATATATATATATATATATATATATATATATTGTAACGGAGAAAGAGCGTTTTGTCAAAGAAAAAGGACGTAATGCGTTTGTTTTGTGTTTCATGCGTCAATCTTCATTGAATTACTAATCCTTGCTCATTGCATTCTCAATGATACGAGCCGGATATGAAAAATGAGTGGCAGGATCTTCGGTTGAGACGGACACGATATGCGCGTTAGCTCGCGGTTGACGAGTACACTCGGCTGCGAGACGAGATTTGCGCCTAATGGTGCGATAATTTTGCGATGATTGAATTGCCGACGCAATTACTTGCCAGAGGCGTGCTCGCGGCCGAAGACGATCGAGATAAGTGGACGGAGACAAAACGTTTTGTCGCATGTGATAGTCCCGGAGTATACACCGCGTTGTGCAAAGACACACACACACACACACACGCACATGCACACGCACACGCGCACGCACACGCACACGCACACACACCCGCGACAATAAGTAATAAACGCGGGCGGCATAACAAACGACGGCCACGTATCGCGATTACTCGGACGGCATTGAACTTTCGTTCGATCTTTATCGATCCGGCGCGTTGTGATATTGCACCTTGTACCTTGAGACCATTTTTATGGCCATTTGCGTAAGAGTAAACGTTCTAAGCGGCGGCGTACGCGTATGTGTGCAAGAGCAGCTTGAATGAGAGATCACACCGAGATCCGATCTTGATAAGAAACATTCCTTTGATGATGGCGATTGGAAAGTCATGTGTGTGTGTGTGTGTGTGTGTGTGTGTGTGAGAATAATTTCTTTCTTCCTTCGCCATTTTTATAGCGGGTTCCCGATACTAGCGCCGCAAATTACCGTTCACACTGGCCGCACTGCGCGCACTCCACCTCGATATCGGGCGCATATTTGTCTCAAGGTAGAGCTAAATTGCCATATAGATTTCCTGTGAAATAAACGCCTGGCTAATAATAGCACACAACACCGCCGAGATACGAGTCATTGCGTAATAATGCGCATGGTATGCTCGCCGGAGTTGCGTGCGCCGCGCCGAAGATTGACTCGCCGCGAAACGAGCCTAATCAATCAAACATACCGCATTCGCGCGCGCGCGCGAGCATTATCTTCCCACAGTTGAGTTGCGCGCGCTCCTGACGATAGAGCAATAATAATAATAATAATAATAATAATAATAATAATAATAATAATAATAATAATAATAATAATAATAAGCGGGACCCTACCTCAGAGATGTGTATGAGATGTATCAACGAGCGTTATTCCTGATGTGTGACGTGAGATTGACACTTAGAAACTATCAGAGGTGAAATTCACTCCATGCGAATTTTTCTTTGATCTTATAAAAAGGAAAAAAATGCATTTGTAATCGCTGCAGATAATAACGTCTCTGCTCTTCATCTAGTAGTAATTCAATAGTAATGAAACATTTAATTGCATTTATTTGACTTTTTGATCCCTGAAATAGGAAAATATGTACTGTGTTATCACGGGTGAAGTTTCACCCGTGATAGTATCCACATGATTTTCTTTGATGGCTTTTAAGGATTAAGATTTGCGTTAGCCTATAACTTAATTTCCTTTCGTGAGTGCAAAAAAAATTATGTAATGTGAAACCACCAAATATTAATCTCCAGATATATATTATCAAATAATTCTAACAATTATTATTATATTAATTAACAATTTTAACAGGTGTAAATTAACAATTAAATTACAATTTTCAAGGATTTTATATTGAGAAGAAAGAGTTTATAATTTTGGAGTTACAATAGTGTACAACATCTGTATATGCACATACAGGGTGTTTTGAAAAAAAGGTTCAGGATTTGAAGGGTAAATAGTATTTATCAACTGGAAGAAAAAATCCTAATAACATGGATTGAAAAATTAATATTGTTATGAACGATTATTTGTTTTAATTAAAGTAAATGACTTACTCGTTTCTGGTGCACAGCCATACATAA